CCACCCGCACCGCTCGAACACATCGAGTCATCGTCTCGCACCCTTTCAGAAGGGCCTGTGCTACTGGCACACAACCTCGATGCAGGTAAGTCCATTTTTGTGCGCTTGCTCATAGGGATGGACATGGGCGGTATTCTCCTTCGTGTTGTCTGTGCCCTTTTTGAAGAATACCTTCGTTGCATGCGCAAAAACGATCCCAACCAGGAACTTGATCACTTCTAGACTGAGGCCAAGTGACGGCGCATGCGGGAATTGTCGTTGATGTGTTCTGAAGTAATAGAATGCGCGTTGGAGCCCCTCTGAATTTGAATGACTCTCGGAGGCTGTGATGGTTGAGGAGCGCGTTGTCGTGATCTGAAAGAGGATAGAGGCCTTCTCGTACGCGACGGTCATCTTGGTCAATGTGCGTGGTACCCGCACTGGCGCCGCTGCGCTCGAATGGTAGACCTGCGTCCATCCCTACTCGCTCATAGGCTTGCATCGAACTTCTGATAACATCCGACCCTTTTATAGCATCACCATATGGCACCAACGAGTACGTTCTGCCCAGTGGCCCAGATACTGACATTGGTGAGCTCGCGCTGCTGTGACACGCTGCTGTCGCATCCTCTTAGCAAACAAATTGTACGTAGCTACTGTGGACGAGTTTGGGAATGTCGCCATCAATGAGGACATCGCGAGTGGACAGAGTGAGCATCCCGACCAAGATTCGGAGTCAACGGAGTGCAGCCAGCGCACTGGCAAGTTCAAGATGGAGTTCCATCCGGCGTCTGGTCAACCGCCTGTGATCTGCCCCCTTGAAGACTACCACCGGCGTACTGCTGTTGTTGATCCCATACACCTGCGCTCCCAACCATGGCTTCCCTTTCGTACACATCTCGACTTCCGCTTTGCGGAGTTTGTCACAGACGCATCTCTCAATGAGCGGCAAGTGAAGACACTGCTCACGATCATCAAAGCAATCAAAACACAGGAAGATGAACTCACGACGGAGACATACGAGGATTTGCTCCGAGTCTGGTCAACTGCATCACATGCGTATCCTGCCGTCCGTGTGCTGCCGTTATTATGCATATTTGATATTTATTGATATTATCTTTACAGTTTCGTGCCGATGAGGTACAGGTGCCATATGCGAAAGAGCCTGAGCCGCGCATGTACACACTCTTTCATCGACCTGTCTGGAAGTGGATCCAGACCATGGTCGAAGATCCAATCCTCGCACCTCATTTCGTCTGGCATCCACGGCATATGTACAGATGGAATGGAACAAGATGGCTTCGCTTTGTTGATGAACCGTACACCGCAAATCGTTGGTGGGCATTGCAGGTAGTGAACTAGTAGTATATAATTCTCTAGCTGTCTCTGATTGTGTGTTAGGATCAAATAACCCCAGGATGTGTCATCCTTGGTCTCTCCCTCTATGTTGACAAGACACAGCTCTCGTCGTTTGGTGGCCAACAAGGCTATCCCATTGTGTTGCGGATCCTGAACCTGCCTTCCCCGATACGGAACAGTGATGGCTATGGTGGCGGACAGATTGTTGGCTTTCTTCCCATCGTCTGTTCTTCTGTCTATTGTAGCAACTCTTTGCTGATTATGGTCTCATACAGGTCAAAGACGAACAGGAGAAAGGTAAAACAATTTTTGCAGACCACAAGTGCATTGTCTGGCATGATTCAATGTGGATCGTGTTTGAGACTGTAGCACAGCATGCAAAACATGGCTGTCGAATGTCTTGTGGCGATGGCCAGTGCCGAGATGTTGTTCCGATCATCATGATTAAATCTGCAGACTATGAAGAACAGTGAGTCCTCATCTATCTAAACTATCACTCAGTCTAATCGACAGCAGGTGTGTCATGGCACTGATTCGTGGCTTGAATGGTGCATGCCCATGCCCTGTTTGTCTTGTTAGGCGTGATATGCAGCACGAGCTGGGTGTCACACCATTATCAGTGCGGCGAACAATCAATGATGGTCGCTCGATTCTCGAGAATCCAGATCTCTCTTCGAAGGAGAAGGATGAGCAGACACAGAAGCTTGGCCTGCGTCCAATCCAGGTGAGCCTGTACTAACACCTCAGTGGTCGTTCAAATAGTGTGATGCTGATAGTATAATCTCAGAACGTTTTCTGGCGGATGCCCTACTGTGATCCATACTCAGCACTTTCTTGGGACAGACTCCATGCATATCATGGTGGCCTCTTCAGCGACCACCTCTTTGCTCAGTTCCAACAGCTAGTGACATCTTTGGGGCGGCAGGCCATTATTGCCGTTAATAATGGGTGAGTCTATCACTGTTCCAGAATTGACTGAAGGGACAATCACTAACCATGTTGATTTTCTAGATTTGATGTCGCCCCACGTTGGGCTGGTCTCAACCACTTCTCTGAAGTTGTGACCCTCAACTTAACAGATGGGACCAAGTATGAAGACATATCAAAGGTATGTCACAATGCCTAGCCTTTCAAATGCCCTACAAGTGATTTTACTTATACATTGTAAATAGGTCATAGTGCCAAGCACTTATCATGTGATGCGCGACTACGATTCCAAGCGTGGTCTGCAACTATTGCGATGCATGCGCAGATATTCTGTGCTTGATATACACACTGCATTCAAGCGCCATGATGAGATCACTATTGAGGCATACTGCCAGGAGTTACCAAAGTTCTCTGCAGCAATCAAGGTACTGTGGAATTTACCTAATAGAGAGGTCTACCATGCAGACATTAGCACAGAAATATCAGCGTATTCACCCCGACAAGACTTGGGATTTTCCCAAAATGCATACCCATCAGCACACAGCCGACGACATTTGGGATAAGGGTGCAACACTGAACTATAATACAAAGCCCTCAGAGAAGATGCATGGTATTATAAAGGAGATCTACCTTGATAGGACTAATTTCAAGAATGTTGAACAGCAGGTACGCTTTACTGCCTACCTATAACCCTGCTAGACAATCATTGACAAGTGAACGGGACTAGATTGCAAAAATCGAGCAACAGCAAATGATTGTCAAGATTCTTCGAGCGCACACGGATGCCTGGAATGACTACCTACACAGCAATGCAGATGAGGGATTGGATGAACACGAGGACCATGCCTCCGCTGCGTTCCAATTTGGTCACATATATCTTGGTTCACGAAAATCACCATCAATGCTCTCTTCTTATGTCGCAGCGCACGGGGCCAGTGATCCTGATATCGCAAACCTTTCTACAATGCTTCAAACGCACTTCCGGAACCATCTCCAGCGACTGGAATTCCTCCTCAGTCCAATGATCAAGGTTTTGTAGTTTTGTGTTATGCAACTCAAGGGCAGAATATCTGAAATATTATATATAGATCATTGTTTCACAGTATCTGAGGGTCGATTACACATCTAGTGTCGACTGGAGCCGCTGCACGGACAAGCTACGGTGCAATGCCTCCTTTCATGGCTCACCTCGGTACGACTACATCATGTATAAATGCGAGGGACAAGGTGTTCAGTTTGCGCACCTGAAACTCGTATTTATCATTGAGGTCAATGGAGCGAAGCACCCGCTCGCGTTGGCCGAAGCACTTGATGTGGTTACAGCACGCCGGACCGAGCTGGATTGTGCACTGGGACTCTATCGGATTCGACCACGGAGACCTCGACATGGAGTTCTCATCCCACTATGCGACACGATCAGGGGAGCTCTTGTCCTGAAGGATAATTGGATCACGGAGGACGGACGGGAAGATTACTTTGTCATTGACATCATCGATGCAGACATGTTCGTGCGGATTCACGAGTACTTTCCCCAGTGGGAACCGTAGCACCGAGACTTTACTCACAAGTATTCTATGCACTCTGGCCATATAAAACATTTGTCTCCAACATACATCTCACCGACTCAAAGCGTTGAAAATCTCACTTGCCTTATCTGGATCGGGGCGCCTTGCTCGCGGGCAACAACGTCTTCCGTCGTCACCACCCTCACCGCCGTCTTCTGTTCTGTCTAAGTCTTACATGCAATGTCGGGCTCTTGATCCTCCTCGCTCATATCCAGTCCCCATCTACCATCTGCACACAATGGCCAGCAAAAACGCAGGAACCCACAAGGATGCCGATACTGGGCGGTTGACTTCCGAGACGTGAGTATTCACAAGCCCTCTCTCCACCACCGACTCTGATCGATCCCTACGGTGAAGGTACACGAGATTGAAGCTCGCAAAGTGGAGAAGGCTGCGCAGGCATTGCCGAAGCCTGCTGCGAAGAGCACTGCTGCCAAAGAGGAGGATCTCAGTCCTAAAGTACGTACCGTCCCCATGCTTGCACGACCTCCGTCCTCATTTCAGCCACAGCAATATTTTGAGATACGCTCCAGAAACATCCTCAAGCTAAAGGAGACTCAGTCTCCCAACCCATACCCCCACAAGTTCCATGTCTCCATCTCGATCACCGACTACATCGACAAGTATGGCCTCGAGGGTAAAATCCAGGCTGGACAGAAGCTGGAAGGCGTTACGGAAGCTCTCGCGGGCCGCATACACAACGTCCGCGCGTCCGGTCGAAGTCTCCGCTTCTACGACCTCCACGGCGAGGGCGTGAAGGTTCAGATCATGGCGAACAAGCAGTACGTTCTTCCGATATGTGATGTGACCTAGAAACCCACTCATTGGCTCGTCGTACTAGAAACGCGGAGGATCCCGACAACTTCGTCGCGAGTCATGAGCACTTCCGCCGCGGAGATATCGTTGGTGTGATTGGTACCCCCGCGCGCACCAAGAAGGGGGAGCTGTCCATAGCCCCCTCACAGATGATCCTCCTCGCACCCAACCTCCACCAGCTCCCCTCCTCTCACTTCGGCTTGAAGGACCAGGAGACCCGCTACCGCAAGCGCTACCTCGACCTCATCCTCAACGACGACACCCGCCGTGTCTTCCTCACCCGCTCCCGCATCATCAACTACATCCGCCGCTTCTTTGACAACCTCGGTTTCCTCGAGGTCGAGACCCCCATGACGAGCATGATCGCGGGAGGTGCGACCGCGAAGCCCTTCACCACACATCACAACGACCTCGACTTGGATCTCTACCTCCGGATCGCCCCCGAGCTGTATCTCAAGCAGCTCGTCGTCGGCGGGCTTGACCGTGTTTACGAGATCGGACGTGTGTTCCGCAATGAGGGCATCGACTTGACGCACAACCCCGAGTTCACAATTCGCGAGTTCTACATGGCTTACGCGGACATGTACGACATCATGGACTTGACGTAGGCTCTCGTCGAGGGTATGGTCAAGTACCTCACGGGCGGTAAGACGATGCTCTAATGCCACTCCGAGGGTAAGGGCAGCGACAAGGTCTACCAGCTCGAGCAGTGCGCGCGCCCTTGGAAGCGCTACGACATGATCGAGACGTTGGAGGAGAAGCTTGGTGTCAAGTTCCCTCCGGGTGAGACCCTCCACACGGACGAGGCGAACAAGTTCTTTCGCGATCTCTGCCAAAAGGTGCGTCTTCCTTGTCTGATGCTCCCGATTCTAGCTTTGACTTTCCTCCCACAGCACAACGTCGAGTGCAGCGAGCCCAGGACAAATGCGTGTTCGCTCGATAAGCTCGTTGGCAATTCGTCGAGCCCCTGTGCATCTCCCCTGCGTTCATTGTCGGCCACCGCAGGTGATGTCGCCGCTTGCCAAGTACCACGGGTCACGACCGGGACTCTGCGAGCGTTCGAGGGCTTCATTTGTGGGAAGAAGTTCTGCAACGCTACACTGAGTTGAACGACCCCTTCGAGCAGCGATTGCGGTTCGAGGAGCAAGTGCGGCAGAAGGAGCAGGGCGACGAGGCATAGGGCATCGACGAGACCTTCGTCGACGCGGAAGTCGACTGTCAGTGGCGTTCACATGCTCCGTTACTGACGCGCCTCGGAGGCTCGAACACGGTCTTCCTCCCACCGGTGGATGACGTATTGGTATCGACCGTCTGGTGAAGTTCCTGACCGACTCAACGAGTGCGTCTTGCTCCGCTTCTGCTGCACACGCTCAAACTGACATGACATTCGCGACAGATAACAAGGGGGTATCGCTGTTCTCTGCGATCAACCTGGTTGAGCAGGCTGCGAACACTATGGGACCAATGGGGAGTGGCTAGATATGATGAAAAAGCTCGTAGACGTAGATGTACAAGTAGAAGTCGTATCCAACTTGTGTTTGTCTTGTATCAGGTAATTTATCGGGACCGTCCACAATGCCAATGCAAGCATTCCCCGTTTTGGCTCATTCGGGGCCCTCGTAAAATACCCGTTTTGGCTTGCTTGGAACATCGGCGTCACCCAAGAAAACGTCCGAAACAGGCAGTGACGCCAGGTCGGGATACCAATATTGGGCGCGTAAAGGCGATCAGAGTGCCACAAATCCTGCATCCTTCGCCCCATCCTTACGCTCAATTACGACCTCTACGAACTACCTCCTTGCTTCCCCGCTCGTCATGTCCGTCGTTGAAATCGAGTTCGGTGCTCTCGCTAGCAAGGTAGCTTGCCTCCTTGTACCCGACTGTGGCGTCTAGATCGATACTGACTCGCGCGACTCTGTGTAGATTGGTGTTGCGATACACCGTGCTACTCCGTACGAATAAGAAGTCTGACTTGTGATACTTCGTGCTGATGCACCGCCTTGTAGATCTGTTGTCTCTTCCGGACCCAAGCAGCGGGCCATCGGCGAGCCCGCAAAGACCCTTGAGATCTCCAACTCCCACAACACCGTCGGCTCCCTCAAGAGGCTGCTTCGCAGGACATTTTCCAACCCTATGATTTCAGAGGTTGAGTCACAATACACCTATGTGAAGTTTGTCG